CAAAGTATCGTCTTTGGATTTTCAGATCTGGGAAAAAAGAAATTTATGTCAATTTTTTCTCCTTTTTTTTGGGGGGGGGGGTTGAAAATTCTTTTCTTTTAGCTAACTGGAGAAGAAAAAATCTAAGTTGAGAAAAAAAGAAAAGAAACGAAAAAAATAAAATGATTGGGGCTTTCTGACAATAAAATTAAGCCAATAAGGTGATGATGGTGAGCCGGTGGAGGGAGATGGTGACGTGGACAATGGAGCGCCAAATAATAGGAGAAAAAAGAAAGTAAAAAGAAATTTAAAAAAGAAATATTGATCTCTCACGCTGAGGAAAATAGTGTAATATACACACCATGCAATATAATTATGTTGTGTCTAAATGACACATTTGAGATACAGTTGAAGTGTTCAAATGAAATTGATTTAAAAGAAATTGTCTAAGTGAAATATATGAACAACTTTTAGGAGTTAACTTTAAGGAATTGTCGATGTATTCTGCCTATAATAATTAAACTATATATTATACATTATCTTATGACCTACAGGTCGCACAGTCATCATCAAATTTGTTGAAAAACAATGTGGTGTTTTCGTTTTCCTCCACTATTTTCTTATCTTCTGCTTCTTCTTGTTACTCTTAATATTCTACAATATGTACATTGTCTTCCTCAGCATGGTTCAACAGTTAAATTTCTTCCAGGTTTTGATGGCCCTCTTCCTTTCTATCTTGAGACCGGGTCAGTTTACATCTCTCTTTTCTCTTTATTTTTTTCGATAATCGAGAAATTTTCAAGACTCGTAATTCACGGTTCGATATTCTTGTGGATAATGGGTTCGTCCTTTTATCATTTTCACTTAAATATTACCGATTTTTGTCTGAGAGCAAAGCTTAAACCTGTAACGTGCGTTTAACCTATACGTCAAACAAATATTATTACGTTGAAGTGATGTTTTCTTTTTGAATTTTTTCAGATATATTGGAGTTGGCAAATCTGAGGAAGTGCAACTATTCTATTACTTTATTAAATCGGAATCCAATCCCAAAAAAGATCCAATCTTACTATGGCTAACAGGAGGGCCTGGTTGCTCATCCTTCACAGGGCTGGCATATGAAATTGGTAAATTTTAGTACGACATGGTTTTAGTTCTATATACGGAGCTCGCGTAGAAAAAATATATACTATCACGTCATTTAAAAGATAACTATAGATAAATATAT